TGTACTACTGCGTAAATAAGTTGGTTGATTTCTCCTGTCCTATTTCCTGTATGGGTTTCCTATCAGTGCACATGCAGAGAGTGCTTTGGTTGTAATGTGCTGCGGGACAAGCCTTCATGGTATAAAAGGGCACTCTCACTTTCCACAGTGATGCCTGAATAAGGAAAGTTTCAATGGACTACAAACTAGAGTTCTGTTCCTTGCCTCCTCCACGCTTTATGTCTTCCAATCTGCCTCCGTCATTGCTCAGATTGGCAGGCCTTTATGTAGCCCTGGGAGCAGGGGCTTATCACCCTTGTTCCTGTATCAAAAAGCTTTCAGGGATTCTATTCCAAGCTGCCATTGTCTGTCTTCCACACCCTGTGTATTCACCAAGGTTCTCGCCCCTTAGTTTGCCTTGGTTTGCTGCAAGGGCATCCCTATTGTGGGGTATCTGGAGGACCTCCTGTCAAGGAAACAGTCATTCAACCATTCATATTCCTGACATAGATCATTGGCAAACATACTTTCTCAGCAGGAAGTGCCTGTACATGGAAAGGTCACTACACCTGGAAGTGTTCCAGAATCTGTGTCACAGGTGGGGGATACCAGACATGGACCTCCTAGCAAACAACAAACCACTAAAAACTAAGCCGGTTTGTCTCCAGTTACTGAGATTATTTAGCTGTATCTACGCCTTTCCTCCCCAAAACTCCTTTCTTGCTCTGCAGAATCGAGGTTGAAGGCATTCTAGTGATCAGACTCATGGCATAGGCTCTATGGGCTCTCCAGTGGTCCCAAGGAGCGGTTAACCATCCTGCTTCAGAGTCAATAGCTTTACCAGCATGGCTGTTGAAGCCTAGTTCTTAAAAGACAGGGACCTCTCCAACTCTGTGATACCCATAATGTTAGAAGCCAAGAAATCCACTTGCCAAAAGATCTGCCATCGCACTTTGCTTGGTTTATTTTAAAGATTTAACTCCTGAGAAGTGTCACTTTAATACTCTGTACTGTAAAGTGTAGTGCATACAGAATTTCAGTCTAAACAACTCCTGTTTCTTGCCTTTTTAGACCTCTGGATTTTTGCTCACAGCTGCAGTGGGCCCTGGACTTCAAACTAAGGTCTACAACAGAGTTCTGCTTTATGTGCAAGCTTATGAAATCTTTGTACGCATATGTGTTGTATTACATGTTCCACATCGGGACTCTTGCGTTGTGTATATATACTTGCTTATCCAGGGGCACTTCAGCTTGGTCTTCACAGATGCAGCTTGTTGTCCATCAGCATGAAGAAAAACCAAGAACTGGTGCACTTGATTATTCCTTTAATGAGGAATCCTATTAAAAAAGCCACAGTGTTTGATGGTCCTGCAAGACCCTTTTGGCAAGGCAAATTGTTTCATTGGATTATACTATGAGGTGAGTGAAAAGCACTCACCTCATAGTTCTCCTTTTTAAAGGAAAAAAACACCTACACTAGGGTGCTAACCTTTTCTGCATAATTCAGACCACACCACAGCCGTGGCACCTAAAACTCTAGTTGGGAGTATTTGTGCAGGATGGCCTGATGTGCTCCTATTAAAGTGCACAACCTCCGCACATGCAAGGGGCTGTGTGGGATCTTGCTGCAGTGGATTACAGAGAATTCAGGTTACTTCAGTTTTAGATGGCATAGGGAATACAGACCGCAATAAAATCCTAGCAGGGGTTCTAACCTTTCTCTACTTTATCTAGGTATACATACAATTTGTCAACATGATGACTTTACCATAGTTGTAGTATTTTCTGGATAGCATTAGCAGTTTACTGTCTGGATTTACTAGTTGCCTTATATTCTATTAGGTCTAGTTGTCATCTTTTCAGTGCTACCTGTTGCGTATCTGCTTTCTTTGTGATTTCTTTTTTTTGTCTGTGTGCCTTTTATATATCTAGCATCATATGCATGACAGTTTGTGTAGAATGACACAGTGAGTTTCCCATTTTAAAATACATTTAAAATTATTGCTGTACTATAAAGTTTATGTCCACCAGCGCTTATGAATTCATGAGAAAGTACATAGGCTGCCTTAGCTGATATCTCCTTGAAATTCTAGTTCCCCAGCTGTCATGTTAATTCAGTGGCTTTAGCACTGTCAGTTAACTGCCTTGGAGCAAGCATGCAGCATTTTAACTTCACTCTGATTCTCCTGATCCCCATGTTTGTTTTAGGTTAAGGTCTAAAAAATATTAGTCAGATAGCCAGACATCTAGCATTTTCAGAAGGTCTGCAATTGTTGCAACCATATGTTTCTACAGGTTACCTTTTAGAGCTCAACTCTGGGAACAGATGCTCTCTGTTTAAATGTATTCCTCAATGGCCACAACATATATAAATCCAGGTTGTGTGCACCAAATACCTTTTACAAACCATGATTTTACCTTTTATAAAGGTAGTGGTGACATCATCACTGTGCTGCGCAGAGCTGTGGGAGGGACTCAGCAGGCCGTCCCACTATAGGCTGCCTGCCAAACTATAGAAAATGGCTGGATACAAGACCAGTCAACCGGGACAAAGAGTAGCAGTTTTTTTTTTACAGCAAGCTCCTGCAGAGGCAACGTTTTCGCTCTGGACTACTGCACAGATCTGGAATAAAACACAAAATGACCCAAAGATTCACGTAGGAATACACATGCCTCTTGCATGTAGACAATATTAGCGTATCCCAGAGTTCAAATTTAAGGACCACAGAGGCATTGGTATATAACAACTGAATTACAGGTGATGGACTTGGTTGCAGCAGAGGGTGGGGCCTAAAGCATATCTAAACTTAGAAAAAGAATCTCTCATTTGATGGATTTTGTTCCAACTATACCATTGAAAGCGTTTTGCTATATCTAAATGTTGGTACCATAGATGGTGTGTTAAGAGTACTCAACACCTCTCCCCTATGTTATGGATATGAGGAGGTGTTGGGTTATCTAGCCTGGGACACAGATCTCTGCTACACCCTAGGAACTGATTTGAAGGCGAGCACAGATACTTGCAGGATCACCTTAAACAAATCACTTTAAACAAATCATTTACAAAATGCATAGAGTCTAAAGCCTTGGTTCTCAACTGGTGGGTCGTGACCCAAAAGTGGGTCGCTACACCATATTCAGTGGGTCGAGGCATGCCTTCCACTTTTCTAGGTGAGAGGCTCCTCAGCCTCCCCCTAGCACAGCACTGTCGGTTCTCTCGACAAGCGGCTATTCAAAATATGCTGCCCAGTGCCAGAGTGTCAGCTTGAGGTGGGATAGGATGGGGCTATGGCCGTGAGGGAGCTCCATCCATACATGCATTGCTTAAATCTCCCTCGCGTGCCCTGTAGAGGTGCCTGGACCGGAGTGATGTCACATTCTTGCTCCTGACACCTCCTACAAGCCACACAAAGGGGCTTTACAAGCAATATACATATGGATGGAGCTCTGTCACAACACAGCAGCCCACACTGGACCCCAGGCTGAAGATCCACTCCAGTTCTCTTAAGGTAGACTATGGGGATCTTAAACAAATTTTTTTTTTTAAATGAAACATTTTGGTGTGTGTAGGTGTGTGAATGTCTGTGAGTGTGTGTCTGTATGTCAGTGTTTCTGAGGGCCCGTTTCCACTAGTACAGTGCCTTAATCGCACAGTACCGTGCGATTAACGCACTGTACCACGCAATCGCACCTACTGTGCCTTCTGGTGCAGAAGATGTGTTGCGGTGCCATTTATTTGAATGGTACCCCAAACGCATCTCCCACCCACAGTTTGTACACCGCATCGGAACGTGCTGTACCTCAATGTCGTGCGTTCCTTTTGCAGTGCGACTTGGGTGGCGACTTAATGACCAAGAACAAATGTGGGTCCTGAGGTTACGCAGGTTGAGAACCACCGGTCTAAAGGATATAGACCTGCGAAAATCTATATTGGAAAGGCAATCGTTCCAAAAGATCTCCGCCAGCCATTGGGGTTTTTGCTAGATTTGTTAGAAACATCTTGAATGGTTTGTTCAGTTTTGTGCTGATATGTAACTTCTATGGGAAGTTTGCACGATAGGCACTCTTTGCTCAGTATGTATGTCAGGTGAAAAAGCTCCCTCGTGCACCCTGTAGAGGTGCCGGGAGCCAGAATGAAGTCATTCCCACCCAGACACCTCTACAGGACATGTGAGGGAGCTGCATGCAATGCACGTATGGGTGCAATGCACGTATGGGATGGGTGGAGCAGATGCAGTGTCTCACGCCGGCTCTAAGTATTAGGAAGAGTAGTTTTAACTCTCCAATAGTTCTCCTTTTTAACCCGTGCAATGAGGGGGTAACTCCACTGCAATGGTTATGAATTTTCTGCCCAGAGTTCTTCTTCTTTAAACATGTCCTTACAGATGCCTAGGAAACACATAAAATGCACTTAACTGCACACTAACAATATATCGCACACTGAAAATCTTTTTGTGTAAACATGGTCTAAGAGCATGAGTTGAAGGCGGAATGTTGTGAAGAAGTCTTGCCAGTGCAGTGTGAGATAAAAGAAGTCGGCATGTGATTCAGATGTCAACTTTGGGTGAAACTAACATTTTGAAATCTTGAGGGTTTATTTTTCATCTTAAAGAATCTATTTCCAAACTGCATATTTAACTTCCTCTTTGAGAAAAATATTATGCGTACGAGGCTTTAGCAATAGGAATGTTACTTAGATGTAAAAAGATATTGGTAACCTGCGAACGTCATGAGACATCCGCCTAAACCACACTGTTTTACTATACTCGTACTGTACACCCATTTCCATAGATGTCCACTTGAGTGCCAGGAAATACTAACTTTTCTAGATTTCCCTATTAAATGACATCCTTTGCTACAAGGTCTTTTTACCACAGATCATCATGAGAGTATTTAGTTATGGAAAGTGATAATTCTGAATTAAGGGTTCCCAGAGCTTCACATTGGGACATTTTATGTGAGGCACCTGGAAGGCCATAGCATTGGATTGGAATATTAACACAGATCAATTTTTTTTTCAGATATTTGGAGTCTGGGGGTAATCCTCTTCATGCTGGTGTGTGGGACTCCTCCATTCCAAGAAGCAAACGACAGTGAAACGTTGACTATGATCATGGACTGTAAATATACTGTGCCCAAGCATGTGTCCAAGGAGTGTAAAGAGTAAGTAATGGCTTTCCCTAACCTGTGAGATCACATGCAGGTTAAAATATCAGACTTGTTTACAGTCATGTACCGTAAGCCTTTGATGGAATTTAAACCTTAGCATTTTCCTTAGAGAAAGTATGACATGATACCTCTTATTACCTTATAATAACAAAACAACTTTCTTGTGTGCTCCTGAAGATTCCAACTCCATTCTGTCATTATGAGCTTCATTGCTTTAACCTTCATATAAGACTCCCTGCCATAGAGAAGTCCAACCTACTATCCATTCAGAGGGTCTTTTGCAGCCAATGGTGGGATGTTCAGTGGGAAAAGCTTAGCTAAGAACTTGAACTCAAGATCCTATTAGGTGGGCTTGGGAACGTCCAGGAACACAGTGCATGGGTTTCAACTTAATAGCAGGTCAAAGGTTGCTGACCACTTTCTTTGAAACTTGTGGCCAATTGATCCTCTCATCTGCCTGAATGGTGCCTTTTAAAAAAAACAAAAAAACTCCATCATCCTCTGCATAGGAGCATACATTTCTCATTTTCAATTTGACAGTTGCAATGATGGCTGAAATATAGAAAAAAGAGGCAGGGCAAAATCTAATCTGCAGTCTCTTATATTCAGCTGTAATAGCAATGTAATATTGAACTGGCATTTGCTACGAGAGAACACAAAATATCAGACTGATTTCATATTTGTAGAGAAATAATGGCAGGATCACAGCACAAGAATGCGTTTTGTAAGGTAAATTAGTTTATATTTGGGCAGGGAGTGGTAAGGCTAAGGAATGGCTTTACATTAAAAAAAGAAACATATGACACGTAGGTAATAATTATATGCAATTCAATAATATGGTGTTTAGCAGTTTACCGGTGTTAGGAACTTAAACTGCATCTTGGACCATTTTGCCTGCTCTGCTTTTAATTGGGCACTACCTGTTGTGGTTCATCACATTTTATATCGCCTGTATCTTCACATCTCCTGCAATACTTTATTATATCCTTTCATGTCACATCTACTGACTTTGACCTGTCTTGTGCTCAGGAATTATGTTTTGTATTCCCAGTCTGATCACTCGAATGCTACAAAGAGATCCTAAGAGAAGAGCATCTTTAGAGGAGATTGAAAACCATCCTTGGCTCCAAGGAGTTGACCCATCACCTGCAACAAAGTACAACATTCCTCTAGTGTCCTACAAGAACCTCTCTGAGGAAGAGCATAACAGCATCATACAGCGGATGGTTCTCGGTGACATAGCAGATCGAGATGCCATTGTAGAGTAAGTTCTTGCTTTTTTTCCACTCAAAGGGTTGTTCCAGATGATGTGCTTGCTGTGGACAGTCTTTCTCAGAAAGCCCCACAGATTCTTTATTCCATAGTTCCGGAGGCTTGTGGAAACATTTATTCCTTTAAGGAGCTCCGAAGTCACACCATATACTATACGCAAAGGATTGAAGCTAGTGGGTCAGCAGGCAGGCAGATGGCATTTTCAGAAGCTGACTTAACTACACAACATTATTCACTGCTTAATAGAAGATTAAACTATAGGCACACTTTGTCTACTTCCCTCCCAGGTCCCCCTCCTCTCCGCAGCATGTCTTTGTAATATTGTGTTGTGCTTGAAGCAGTTTATTGTGTTTTCCAAATCTTGGAGGTGCATGCTTGCACCACAGTACTTGCTATCAGTACAGAGGCTTCCAGCACAGGACAAGGTAAGTATGCAGCATAAAAAAGATTAATTAGTAATACGGCTTGTTTTAGGGATTAGGTATTAAAAGAGAACTATAGGGTAACCTTTTTATCCCATAGTTCTCTTAAGGGTCATGGGAGGACATATACTAATATCCTTCCGTGACCCAAAGCTCAGTATATAGCGAGCTATATACTGAGAGTGCCAAGGCTGGGACGGATCCCGACAATACTGTTGAGATCCACCCAGCTAGCTGATTGACAGCAGGCTCTGCCTATCTAGAGGCACAGCCAGCTGTGCCCACCCCTATCCGTTCCTCCAGTCAGTGCCGGAGGATCAGAGGGGAGGTGGGAATCCCTGCGGGGAGCCGTGACTAACAGTCACCGCTCTCTGCAGGGAGATGATTAGAAAGTGAGTGAGCGACGTTGTGTTCCCTCAACTTCCGATCAATAGAGCCAACGTGTGACGGTTTCGTTGTCACAGGTCGGCTCTAACTTTGAGGATGAGTGAAAATCACTCATCTCATAGTTCTCCTTTTAAGCGGTCTTAACGTTAGTTCTATATTCTGACAGCTAAGTGATCATGCAGATGCTGATTACTTAGCTCACAGTCTTCTCCCTGCAGTGAGTAGTTACTGTCAGTCACGACTGCCCGCAGTAATTCCCCCCTCCCCTCTCTTTTCCAGCGCTCATTAGAGGTACAGACAGGGGAGAGGGTGGGCACCGCTGGCTCTGGAGAGGCAGAGCCAACTGTCAGGCAGCTGGGCAGATCCTGACAATATTGTCTGGATCCTTCCCGGCTGCAGCACAGCTCTGTGTTGTCAGCAGATAACAGGGAGTACCCTCTATATGCTGACTTTGGGTCACAGGAGTACATTGGTAAATATACTCCTGTTACACAGACAAAAAGTGAAGGCAGAAAAAGGTTTGACTTTAGTTCTCTTTTAAGGAGCCAAAGGAAAAACTGGTGCCACTATTTCAACGCCTGACATAAGTGCCAATTTTTTTCGTAGGATGCAGCTCACAGCGAATATGCTTCACATGGTATACCCAAGTATAAGCCATTTTGGCTGACTACAAGCTTTTGGCCCTGGCCAGATCGGAGTATGCATACCTGTGCTGGTAAATAGAGTATACACCCTTCTCTTTCTCAGTTGCCCTTTTTCCTACTATAGCAGTTCCCTAAAAAAGTTCATATGAAGATGACTATTGGTATTCCTGTATAACCATTTTCTGAATAATGCAGGGATTGTTTTATTTTTTATTTTTTTTATAACTTATTTTTTCCACAAGTAAATTTAAAAAAAAAAGGGATTAACAGACCTAAAACCACTATATTGTGAGGGACAATATTAAAGAAAACCAAACAATGTCTGAGAGAAGATCAACAACAGTACACAACAATCAATATGAATAGTCGGACATCAAAATGAGATTTTCGAACACGATTCCATGAAAGATATACTATTAATAAAGCAGGATAGGGTATAATGGTCAACCATGTTTCTGTAGGTGGTGGGGGAGACCTGGGTGGGAGGTAACCCCCCCTCACCCCCCCACCCCCCCCACTGCACCAACAGTTTGTGTTAGAAGCTGACCCAGTAACTAGGGAATTTGTTTTCTTTTTATTGTGCATTTCCACTTTTGCAGACAAATTGGGATAACACCTACTATTATGTTTGTTACTTGTTCCGATTTACATTGCAACTTGGAAAAAAAAGTTTTAAAAAAATTGTTACTGCATGTTTAAATTATCTTTTTTTTCTTAAAACTCCAGGACTGAAAAATCCTACTTAGTTCTCACTTATGCAATGGTTATGAGCTGGCTAAGGGGTTGTTTGCCATAATTAACCATGTCTGTACTGTTCTGGCACATTTCATTATCAGTTAACTAAATGCGCAGGGCTGCCGGTCCTCACAAGTGGTTAAAAAAGATAAGAATTGGGTGGTGCATTGTGTATCTCAGTCTTGTCCCTCCAGTAATTCCCTTATTTCCACATCCATCCATTCTAAGCAATAGAAGCTGCCCTTAGAGTACGCCCGGGACAAGCAGTTTCGGGCGCCGGGCGAGTAGTTTTTTTGTACATTTAGCCCTGCTCCAGACAGGCAGAGCTAAATGTATAGTGTAGGTCCGCCGCTCGTTTACATACAAGTGATCTGATTACATCACTTGTATGAAAGGAGCAGCGGCGATCCTGTCCGGCATAGGAGCTCACCATAGAGCCCGTAGAGCAGACTAAGAACGTCCGTTCTTCGTCTGCTCTGTGTGATCACTGAGACCGTGGCGCTGTAATCACAGCGCCACCTGTCTCGGCTGTCGGGAACTACACAGGACCCTACCCTCCCTAGGTGCGTCTTATGGTCAGGTGCATGTTATGGAGCGCAAAATACGGTAACTAAAAAGATACGATTTTTTTATAAAATCATTGTTCAGTAAGCTACTTGAATGGGAACACTTAACAAACATATAGCGAGGAGTTAAACAAATTTGGATGTAACAGTGAAAATACACGTCATGGGAGATCTAAAGGTACCAGCATCAAATTAGGTATTCAGAACAAGCATTGTGAAAAAAAAGGCTTTGTTAATATGCTCCAAAATATTTTCTTTAAAAAATACTGCTTATTTCTGCGTCTTCAGAGTAGCAGCTTCTGCTGTTTTTTTTGTGCTTTGGGGTCATATTTATCTGGGTCATCTCCCTGTACCATGCCTTGTACCATGTCGCATGCAGCTGGCCTCCGTGCTGTAGGAAGGCTGGAGAAGTAGAGAGGTGGGTAGCGATGTTGGCTGGACATTAGAGAGGAGCATGTGAGCGAGTAGTGAAAAAAAAAGTGTACTGGTTTCTAAACACAATGCTTCTGCTTGTGTGGACAGTCAATGGCAGTGCAGAAAAATCTGCTCTGTGATGCCCTTTGGCTGGCACCGCTATGCAGCGGTGTATACTTTGTGGCCCAAAAAGTGAGTCAAGTCTAGACTTGTGCTGGGTGTATATGGCAGTCTCACTTTCCCACAGAGATTTTACTCTGCCATAGTACAGCTGGATACATGTAGCCAAAAATGGGTAGATTCTGTTCAAGTTAAAGAATAATTCACAGAAAAAACATGATTTCCAAGTCTACCTGGCAGCAGTTGCAGTATTCTGATATGAAGCTAGTACTGTTTGTAGCCTTTTATTTGTTGCTGAAACAGTTCCAGTTCTTTGAGCAATCTCATGTTTCCTGTTTTTTTTCTTTTTCTTCTTCAGCGCCTTGGAAACAAATAAATACAACCACATAACCGCAACTTACTTCCTCTTGGCTGAGAGGATTCTGCGAGAGAAACAGGAAAAAGAGATACAGGCCCGCTCTGCCAGTCCCAGTAACATCAAAGCCCAGTTTAGGTACAAATTTATGTGTACCATATCAGTGAGACACTGCTGACTGTGTAAATGGGGAATGTGCTAAAAAGTGTTACTTTTCAGTCTATTTTTAAGTTGGATGTGAATCAAGTGGTGTTAGCAGATCTGTCTTCTGTAACATTTGCCATTTGACATATATTCTCTTTTATTTCTGTCCAATGATCTACTGCACAGAATGGCCATATACAAAAATGTTTGGGTTTTTAACAGTATGTCACTGCATGTGGTGTGACCACATCCATCTGTGTGGCATTATTTTATTTAGGAGTGAGTCTATCTATAAACAATTTGCATAGCAGTTCACCCTGTGAATCTCTGAACGTTCATTCTGTGCGAATAAAGGGACAAATTAATGTTTTCAGTATATTTCTTTTTTCCACTTGAATGTTATGTAATACCCCTGTATGGCCACTAGATAGAGCTGAGGCGCATTGGAAATAAGTAATACGTATTTTTTATTCCAGTTCTGCAAATATATTATTATGGAATGCAGTTTGTCACTCTTTTTTTAAAGTAGTATTAAGCTCTCAATGTGTTTTGTGTTTTTTCCAGAGCAAACAAATATATATTGCCCGGCAGTTTTGTGTTTTGTTTTGTTTTTTACATTTTTGCCCAAGCGGTTATAGTCATCATGTTTCCAAACAGCTGGTTGCAACTCTCTCAGGTCTGCTTGCCTGAACCTCCAGTCCAGTACATGATCACAAGGGACAGTGCAATCTCTTGTGTGTTTGTGGAGATGCACACAGCTTACTAGTGCACACAAGGGTGGCTCCATAGGACACTGCAAGGGAAAGGAGCCACCCTAAAACAGGATATCCGGGCCAGTGCTCAGAGGACCAGCTGATTCTGCATGGAGCTAAACTTTTAAACATCAAGGAGCAGCATTTATTGCAAGTGATTTCATCAGCAATTGCAAGAGCTCAAAAACATTTTGACTTTAATATCACTTAAGGCCGCATTCTCGGTATATGTGTGTACAGCATCTCACAGGCAATGTCCATAGAAAGTATATAAACTTTGATGTTATGTTTGTGCTCACAGCCTGGAAACCAAGCTTTACATGACAGTCATGTTCCCATTAGCATTGCTTTATCGGTCCAATAGGTCCAAACTTGATATTTGCATTTTTAGTAGATGCCAATGAGTTTGAATCTCACCAGCTTATCATCCCTGTGGTGCTTTAGTGGGAGATCACTTTTCTTCTGTTCCCAGACCTAAACACCTGCTGCTGATACAAAGCTGCCCTTTCTGTCCACATTACATTTATACCTATAGTGTATTTCTAGCCAAGTGAAAGGAAGTATCTCCAAAGTTAGGGGCAATGTCCTCTTGGACAGTCATCACCATAACAGCTGTCCCCTAATGTTTTGGCTGTACACCTGGACACTGCTGTAGTAGGTAATATCAAAGGTGAGCAGATCTGATCATGGAAGTTCCTTAAACATAAGTTGCTCTGCAAGTTTTCACGCCTACCTAAAGTTTACATTACATTTTTGGGCAGAGTGGCCATTTAAGAAAGCTCTCAGACTATTGGAATCATTTTAAACCTCTCTAGCTATATCATGTTCTCAGGGTGCATTGCAGCAGTTACCTGTTGGCCTAGGTTTTTTTTTACTGATCACGCTCAGTAGGCAGTAGTCACCTGATCAATTTCTCCATCTGCCCTTTGCTCTCGAATACCTAAGCACCACTTACTTGAGCCTATGCAATGGCAGATAAGTTGATTAAAAAAAAGCCACAGGGGCATAAAAGATGTCTGGAATTGGTGTGGTTAGAAGGGCACAGTATTAAGCTGAAGATGTTACAATCTGCAATCACCTTCAGGTTGGGTTCACACTAGGGATGCACTGATATATCGGCCGCCAAAACATATCGGCCGTAAGTGGCACTTTTGGCTAAATGCCGAAAGTGCCATTTTCCTGCCGACACATCGGCGCATCCCTGCTTTCTTTCCTCCCCGCTGGGCACTGCTCTGTGTCCCATCGGGGCGAAAGAAACTGTGACAGCCAGCCGAGCGCTGCGGGAGGAGAACGCTGTGAGCGGCAGGCGTCTCTTCTCCCACACCGCTCAGACTCCTATTGGAGTCCAGCAGAGCGGTGTGTGGGCGGAGTCAGGATGGAGAGCGGGTACAAGCAGTCAGCGCTCAGTGATCAGTACTATATCCTCTATTATGAATGAATGGGAAGTGATCTACATCACCTCCTGCTCATTCATGATTGTGGTTATAGTAAACACACAGATTCTCAAGTTATGAATGAAAAGGAACACTCAAGTGATTCCTGTTCATTGAGTGCTGGGGCTGCAGAAAGAGATTGAGGACTCTTGTGTCCTCAATCTCTTTTTCTATTATTTTAAAAGGGAAATATCAGGGGTCTGTTTAGACCCCCAATATTTTCCCAAAGCCCCTAAAAGTAAAAAACTAATATTTAATAAAAAAATAATTAATAAATATAAAAAAGTAAAAGTTTATTAAAAAATAAAATATTTTAAAAATGTGAAAAAAATATTAAAATAAACATTTTTGGTTTCGGCCTGACAATTTTTTGTATTTTGGTTTCGTTTCGGTTTTGAAATTTCTATTTCGGTGCACCTCTAGTTCACACATTTTATCTTTTTCCTGATGCGTTTTTCATTGAAATCAATGGAAATGCATGAAAATTCATGTCAAATAGCATTAATATTATCCGATGTGGGAGTTTGTTGCATATTGCAGTTCAGTTTGTATTGTGTGTCAGTGCGCATTAACGCACATATTAACGGGCGTTGAGATGCATTTTGATGCATTTGTACTGATTTCAATGGAAAACCAATCAACCAAATATACAAAGGTGTGAATCCAGCCTTGGTTCTACCAACAAGTATAATGTGCAGGGGCCTTCATGATGGAATACAAATTAAATGGATTTTTAGAAATTCCCTCACATTACATAGTTTTAGTAATTCTGAAGGAGCTTGTAATCCGGGTATAACATTTTAAATGAAACCTGGGTCCAGACTATGCACACAAGTGTTTACATATTCTTATCAAGCAGTAAATGCACTTTAAAACCAGTCCTTCCTCACCTCTGTAGCTATAGGCATTGTGGAGAGGTTCATCTTCAAATTTCACAACAGAAGCACTCAAACCTTGTTTCTTCTATTACTTTCTAAAACAAAAAACAACATTTTGGTTGCCTCCAGTCTTTTGATACAAATATACAGCAGGTGTTTCTAAACTGTTAGAAACTGACTGAAAACAGACTTTAGATTTTTTTTGATCCTTCAGAATAAATTACTTCACAGTACAAGCAGCCAGATTGAGAATATGTATCGTCCGTAGTCTGAATGTTTACAAAAGCTAAGGCGCATTTGTATTTTAACAAAAGCTAAATATCTGCCATTTAAAGGGTCAGTCCAATCAATGTAGTTAAAGGTGGAACCTAGTTTGTCAGCTGCCGGCTTATTATATGTCTTGGAAGCACTATGGACAATATCTGCTGCCATAGGTATCGTTTCTGTTCCCCTATACCTGTGAGTTTTGGCTGTTGCAGCCTAGCTTTTGCGTTGTCTAATGCCCCCTTTTACATTCTCCATATTTTAAAGTAAATAAACGTGAGTGGAAGCCCTTCATAGTGGCCACTGCATAATGTGCAAACCTAGGAACACAGTCACAGAATTGGTTTGACACTACAACATTTGCCAAAAATTTTAATATCCGTTTTGCGAAGACTGACCCTTTTAAGCAATTGCAAAAAATTGCAGCTTTGCACTTTATTATATAATTATGTTTAAGTTCATTCTTCAGTGTTATGAGTAAAAATATTTTCTGTGAAACTACTAGTTGCAAGTAATTTTACAGCATTAGCTGTCTTATTTTTCTGTGTATTCATCAAGTCTTTTAAAATGCTGATGTACAAGTGCTTGCCAAGTCTTTGTAGTGCTTATTTGTATCATAGCAACTAGGCATGGCATTGTATGGCCCAGAGACTGGCCAGACTCTCAAGACTGTTCCTATTGTGAACAATGAAGAAGATGAAAAGTCAAATAGAAAACATACAAAAATAGAACATAGACCCTTGATTATATTATAAAAATATATCCAAGAACATCTCCGTTGTTTGTCCACCTATGGTACTTTTACTATTCTGAAGATTCCTAAATGATTTGTATATCATTTAGTTGAACAATTTTTACATGTATAAAGAAAATGTAGAAAATGTTAAATATAAGTATTGCCTATACAAATCGGAGATGAAAATGGAACTAGAAAACATGATGGTTCAAAGCTAGATCATTTAGGCAACAAAAAAAATAAAGAATTGGAAAACAGTAAGGGCCTGTGTTGACGGACATCGATGGCCAAATGCAGCGTGCTCTTGACACCAATTTGAGAAGCTTCTGAGATCATTCAGAAGTCATTGAAGGTGCAGTTGACCTCCTTCTGACCTGCTTCAATAGTCTTTTGCATTCTTATAGACTTGTATGTGGAGAGAAGCAGTTTGGAAGCGAATAAACACCTGTCAACACTGGCCCTTCTACTGGTTGGACATGATACATTTTTGGATTTTTACAACTTTGCTTTTTTTTTCCTTGTCTGTAGGCAGTCCTGGCCCACAAAGATTGATGTTCCTCAAGACTTGGAGGATGATCTGACGGCTTCTCCAATAGCCCATGTGGCTGTTATACCTACCGCAGCTCGCAGCACGGAGAGTGTGCTCAATGGCCATAGAAATAAAGGTCTTGTGGAGCCTCTGAAAAAAGAGGATGTACCAGATTTTGCTGGTCCAGCAGCTTCAGGAATTCCTCCTGTGAACCCATCCACTAGTGGTAGAAAATGCCTTTTCAGAGTGGAAGAGGATGAAGAGGAAGATGAAGAAGAAAAGAAGCCCATTCCACTTTCCTCACAAGTTGTTTTACGTCGCAAACCTTCTGTAACAAACCGACTTACATCAAGAAAGAGCGCTCCAGTACTGAACCAGATTTTTGAGGAAGGAGAGTCTGACGATGAGTTTGATATGGATGAGAATCTTCCTCCTAAGCTAAGTAGATTAAAAATGAACATTGCATCCCCTGGTACTGTACACAAAAGATACCATAGGAGGAAAAGCCAGGGTCGGGGGTCAAGTTGCAGCAGCTCAGAAACTAGTGATGATGACTCTGAGAGCAGGAGGCGACTAGATAAAGATAGCGGGTTCACCTATTCTTGGCATAGACGAGACAGTAGTGAAGGCCCACCTGGAAATCAAGGTGATGGGGGAGGCCAAGGTAAACCAAGCAATGGAAGTGGAGGTGTTGACAAAACTAGTCCAAGCGATAACAAAGGAGGGGGTAGTCCCTCCAATAACTCTAGTGGTAACACCAACAACTCATCTGGAAACACCCGCACCTGCTCTGGTTCTGGTAACCCAGTGCAGCAGTCACCAAGAAGTGCAGGAGAACTTGTAGAGAGCCTAAAATTAATGGGCCTTTGCTTAGGTTCCCAACTGCATAATGGGGCCAAGTATATTATTGATCCCCAAAATAACCTATCCTTCTCAAGTGTCAAAGTACAAGAGAAGTCCACTTGGAAGATGTGCATAAGCTCTAATAGTAGTGCCAGTAAAGCCGCCCCACCCAGCGGTATAAAGTTATTTTCTGATCAAATGTCAGACGCCACTAATGAACTGGAACGTCTAAAGAAGAAGAACTTTAAGAATAATGTATTACAGCTACCTCTGTGTGAAAAAACGATTTCTGTGAATATTCAGCGGAACCCCAAGGAGGGACTTCTATGTACCGCTAGTCAAACCAGTTGCTGCCATGTCATATAACAATGGCAGTAAAACGCCATTGTTTATGGCTGGGGACATTTGCTGTTTTGTTTATTCCATTGTGTTGTCTTGATTTTTAAAGTGGGCTTCATGGGCAATTATTTATTTCTTTTCTTTCCCCAGGTAGATCAGCAGCATGTTTTATTTTGTGCAGGCTGCTAGACATCACTATCTCTTCTGCCGACTTTCAATATATTTTTTTTTTTTTTACTGTGTAACTTTAACTTGTTTTAACCATGGAAAATCACATTGGTTGTGACCTACAAGCATACAGTGTGAGGAGCACTTAAGTTTCATTTTCAGCACTTAAGCTAAGGAGACCCTCCTGGGTTTCCTTGTTCTCTTAATTCCAGTCCTTGCTCTTGTGATCGTGGTGTATTTGTGTGTCTGAGAGAGAACCAAAGCAATAATGTTTTGTTGTTGAATCTGCCCCTTGGGGTGGATCGGCGTATTCCAAGGCTTGCACAAATTAAAGATGCACTGAAAACAGTGTTCCAGCTGCAATTTCCCATAGCTGGCTCAAATATTGGAACATGTATCAGACCAGTCCCAAAAATGAAACTAGTGTCTAAAAACATTAAAGCAAATTTATTTTTTTACATTAAATAAGACAATCTTTATTTCTTTCCACCTTTTTTGTGTATTTCAATAGTCATGTAAAGAGTGGTCAGTGCAGGTAATAATCCTCCAATTTGTCTGATTTGTTGGGGTTTACAATGAAACCATGTCCTGTATAAAGGTGAACAGTGAGTGGTCTGGATACAAAGTGAACCACGTCAGTGTGGTTGTTTACATACCCAGTTTCCAGAATGCTTAGTGCACATTTTGCATTAATGTGTTGTTGAACATTTCTTTAGATGTTTAATGCTATACTGTAAAATATATGTCTATTTTCATTTTAAAGTAAGATATTGAACATGTGCAGGCTCATTTAGAGTTACCTATAGTAAAAGATATATTTCTCGATAGCCTGTAAAGATGAAATAATATAATTTATCAAATCCTGAAACAAGAAAGAATTTATAAAAAAAAAGCTGTCATTCAGTATATGATATGGCAGTATATTTATTTTCCCATTAGGTGACATGTAGTAAAACAAAAGTATTTGTTTGTTCATACATCAGTTTTGTTAGATAATTTAAAGTTGGCCCTATATGTAGCATCTGAATGACCCAGCTATGCTCAGGAGTGAGTTTGCAGACCTTTTATCAGATCTGGTCATTCACGCTTGTATTAAAATCTTATGGATTTGAACAGTTAGCTGCAGACTTGAGCTGCAAGGCCTCAAAGACCACAGATGCAGTACTTTTGGAACCAGGATCTCATCACACCCAGTTTGCATGATAAGAACATTAGTTGGCCAGATCTTGAATAAATCTAACATATACATGACTATAATGAATCTAACTAAAGGTCAATGTTTGGCACCCAAGCCATACTTCAGGATTGCAGAGCAGATAATACAACCAGTTATGCAATGTCTGTACACAGAGACAGAAGTGTTCATCAAGCCTGTAACAACATACCCATTTGATTTGCTGTTTGGCTTTCAATTGGGTGTGGAAGTGCTTTCTCTGCTGTTAACTTCAGATAAGATATGAAATGGCTCGCTGTTTCAAAATAAATATTAGTGGACAGATGGCTTTTTTTCATCCGGGGCATTCAAAGTTGAGTGGCTCTTGGGAATGGAGCAACAGTTCCATATTTAAAGTAACAGTGACTACAGAGATATGGTGGTTAAACAATTTTACAATCATCCAGGTTATACAACGTTGGTTTTTTTCCACTTCTGAAATCTGTAAACTGTTTATATGGTCCAGCGACATCAATTAACCAGCAAAATGGGTGCTATATTTAGTCACTTTTTACTGCCCTACTGCAGTAGCTAGCTAACGTTACATGGCATGTGGGGCAGAAGCTGACTGGGAAATCATGTTTTTTTTCATTATCATTCCATTAATATTAATGCATTATTATTCTTATGGATTTAAAGGGAGAGATGAGTGGTCTCATCTTGCTGACACTGCCAGCAGAAACTTAAGAAAGCACAGAATACATAGATTAGGGCTTCTTTACATACAGGGGCCAAAACACGGTGCCCATGCTGCATTTTTTAAATTTCTGAACACTCACCTATACTCTGTGGCTGGAAGGGTCTATAGAGCCATATGGCACCATGCATCCCATTGCTTTGCTACATATGTCTTTCATTTGTAAAGAAAAAAAACTGTGCTTGCACAATCAAGCAGACCTTGACCTTGATACCGGTAGTTGGACCATTTGCCCTCTTAGTATTAGCCACTGTTTTCCAAAAAAAGGAGACCTTGTTTGGGGGGCACTTTCCATTCTTCCTTGATCATCAAATTGATCATCAATTTATCTGATGCTGAGGTAAATATGATCTAGCATATAGGGGCCAGGCATTTCATGGATTAATTGGTTGTCCTGTTTACTGTAACTTCTTGAATTGGACCATTTGTCAAGAGAACCCCCACTGTGCCAGATGGACAACTTTCCAATAGTTCTATTGTACAAAGATGTTACCTCCTAAATTAAATGACTGTGTGCTTAGCTTTGCAAGCATTCTTGTACTTCAAACAAAACCAGATAACCACTTGGTAATTTTTGGCACTTCCAAAGTCCACTAAATACGTGATTTCCTTATGACGTTCTTTGTTACTTCAACAAAATAGATGCCACTAACACAGTTTAAATGTTACTTTTTTAGTACTGAGGCAGCCCACCCAAAACTGCTGGCAAGCTGAACCAACCACATTCTTCTTATCCCTTTCTACCTGAGGTCCTGGCTTGTTTCCAACACATTCTGGAGTTTCTTTTTTTTCAGTTGCAGCATAGGGAGTCCCTCTAGTTAAATAAATTCAATATCCAGTTGGACGAATGGCTCCATCATGGCATGAAGTTCTAGTACAGAGACCATGCCACCTAAGTCACCAGACGATAAGATGGTGAGTTGAATCCAGTGTTAGCTTTGGGTAAACTGACCCTTAAGCAGTAGGTAACTTCTGACCGCTTTTTCTTCAGCTTTGATGTCGAGTCATAACCTCCAAACAAACAAAGGTTTTGAGTAATCTTGTTAGTGATATTTTCATGTGTTGCAAGTAGAGCTGCAGCTAACGATTATTTTCAGAATCGATTAGTTAGCCGATTATTAGGTTCGATTAATCGGTTAATCGGATAAACTATAAAATAAAGTTTAAAAAATGGCTCCAGTGATGGACTACTAGTTTGTATTGAGGTTGTAGTCTATCACAGGAGCAAGCTTGGACCGGTGGAAGTAAAAAAGAAAAAAAAAAAGATAGTGTGGTGTGCAATATAGTGAAATGGAAAGTGTAAAATTATACAGCAATGCATGCAGAATGGCAACGGCTATAGAGGACTACAAATCCCAGCAATAGTACATTATACAGCACAATGCAGAATATCACCAGCTATAGAGGAATCCAACAAATCCCAGCAATAGTACATAATAGCCGGCGGCATTCTGCATTGCGCTGTATAATGTACTATTGCTGGGTTTTGTAGTCCTCTATAGCTGGTGGTATTTAGCATTGTACCACTGTATAATGTACTATTGCTGGGATTTGTAGTCCTCTATAGCTGGTGGTATTTAGCATTGTACCACTGTATAATGTACTATTGCTGGGATTTGTTGTACTCTTCTACAGCTGGTGGTATTCTGCATTGCGCTGTATAATGTATTATTGCTGGGACTTGTAGTCCTCTATACAGCGTAATGCAGAATATCACCAGCTATAGAGGAGTACAACAAATCCCAGCAATACATTATAGAGCACCATGTGTGGGAAAGTGCAGTCTTCCAGCAACGTGCTTCTGAGATCGGACCTGTCTATCAGCAGCTGTCATCCCCCCACACCTGCTCCTCCTTACTACATCTCCC